AGACACTCTTGAGGGCCCAGCCATAATAACAGACACTCTTGAGGGCCCAGCCATAATAACAGACACTCTTGAGGAGCCCAGCCATAATAGACACTCTTGAGGAGCCCAGCCATAATAACAGACTCTTGAGGGCCCAGCCATAATAAAGACACTCTGAGGGCCCAGCCATAATAACAGACACTCTTGAGGAGCCGCATAATAACAGACTCTCTTGAGGAGCCCAGCCATAACATTAGCCCAGATACACAGACTCTTGAGGGAGCCCAGCCATAATAACAGACACTTGAGGAGCCCAGCCATAATAACAGACACTCTTAGGTGACCCATAGTTTGAGGCCAGCCATAATAACAGACTCTCTTGAGGCCCAGCCATAATAACAGACTCTCTTGAGGGGGCCAGCCATAATAACAGACTCTCTTGAGGGCCCAGCCATAATAACAGACTCTCTTGAGGGCCATTAATAACAGACTCTTTGAGGTTTGTGTTGTTTGGGGTTTTGGTTGTTTTTGAGGCCAGCCATAATAACAGACTCTTGAGGCAGCCATAATAGACACTCTTGAGATTGTTTGGGGTGTTTGGGGTTTGGGTTGTTTGGGGTAGACACTCTTGAGGCCCAGCCATAATACAGACACTCTTGAGGGCCAGCCATAATAACAGACGCTCTTGAGGCCCAGCCATAGTAACAGACACTCTTGAGGCTAGCCACAACAGACCTGGGGCCCAGCCATAATCAGACTCTTGAACTCATAATAACAGACCTCTTGAGGGCCAGCCATAATAAGACCTCTTGAGGCCAGCCATAATAACAGACATCTTGAAGCCAATATAATAACAGACACTCTTGAGGTAGATAATAACTTAGGCATATAATAAGCACTCTTAGTTGTTGGGGGTTTTGGGGTTTTGGGTGTGTTGTTTGGGTGTTGGGGGTTTGGGGTGTTGCCAGCCATAATAACAGACACTCTTGAGGCCAATATAATATGACTCTGGGCAGCCATAAAGACACTCTTGAGGGAGCCATAATAGACCTCTGAGGCCAATAATAACAGCCTCTTGAGGGCCAACATAATAACTTGGGCCCAGCCATAACAGACCTCTTGGGGGCCCAGCCATAATAACAGACCTCTTGAGGCCCAGCATAATAACGACTCTTGGGGCGTAATCAGACCTCTTAGGACAGGCCTAATAACGATGGGCCAGCCATAAAGCCAGGCATAATAAGACCTCTTGAGGCCCTAAGACTTTGGGCCATATAATAACAGACACTCTTGAGGCCCAGCTATACGGACCTCTTGAGGCCAGCCATAATAACAGACACTCTTGAGGGCCCAGCCATAATAACAGACTCTTGAGGCCCAGCCATAATACAGGCTCTTGGGGAGCCATAATAACAGACTTGGGGAGGGTATAATAACAGACACTCTTGAGGGATACAATAACAGACACTCTTGAGGCCAGCCATAATAACAGACATCTTGAGGCCCAATATAATAAGACTTCTTGGGCCAGCTAGTCTTGAGGCAGCCATAATAACAGACTTCTTGAGGGGGGTTACAGCTGGGGCCCAGCCATATAAAGCACTTTGGGCCCAGCCATAATAGACTCTCTTGAGGCCAGCCATAATATACTCTTGGGCCCAGCCATAATAACAGACTTTGGGCAGCCATAATGATCTCTGGGCCCAGATAACAGACCTCTTGAGGCCAATCATAATAACGACCTCTTGAGGCCAGCCATAATAAAGACTTCTTGAGGAGCTTCATAATAACAGACACTCTTGAGGCAATAAAGACCTCTTGACCTTTGAGGCCAGCCATAATAGGCCTTGGGCAGCCATAACAGACTCTTGGGGGCCCAGCCATAATAACAGACACTCTTGAGAGCCCAGCCATAATAACAGACACTCTTGAGGCATATAATAACGACATCTTGAGGCCAATCATAATAGACTCTTGGTAGCCATAATAACTGGGGCCATTAAGACCTCTGGGACAGCCATAATACAGACACTCTGAGGCCAGCCATAATAACAGACACTTGAGGAGCCCAGCCATAATAACAGACACTCTTAGGAGGCCCAGCCATAATAACAGACACTCTTGAGGCCAGCCATAATAACAGGAACCTCTTGAAGCCCAGCCATAATAACAGACACTCTTGAAGGC